TGGTCACTGTCTATCCCATTTAGCAGGTGATTGTGCCACACAAAACATTGAAGTGTATTGTTTATGCAGAGATGGGACTTTGTTCCCTTGAGGACTGTGCGGTGGTCACTCTTACTTATACTGTCACAGACAGATGCATCTATGGCAGGCAGATTGGTAAGGGTGAGGTCAAATACATTTTCCCTCTGGTTGGTTCGTTTCACCATCTGCTGCACACAGAGTTGAACAGCTATATCCCTGAGGACCTGATCAGCTCCATCAATAGTACTGTTGCCCAGCATCACTTGGTAGTGGACATTGAAATCCCCCACCCAGTGTCTATTCTGCAGCATTGCCGCCCTCGGTGCTTCGTCCAGGTGTTGTTCAACATGGACAAGTACTGATTCATCAGCTGCGTAGGGGGTAATCGGAGACTTCCTTTCCTATATCTGATTTCATGCCATGAGACTTCATGGGCAGCATCTTCCTGTATGTGTGCCTCTGGTGGGACTTCTCCTCATCAGGAAGGATATCCCACCCCCTGAAGCTCAATATGAGTGGCACAACCAGTCACATAGATTGACTGTTTGTTTGTTTCAGCAGTGACAGAACCACTGGAACCCTGGAGGGAGGTTATATCCAGGGACTTGGTGTCAAGAGGGATTGGGAACTTTATGGCTGGGTTTTAAGTAATATACAGGAAGAGGGGGAAGTACAATTTGCACAGGAGGTGCCCCTGATGGGCAAGAGACACCTCCCTATGATAGTAATCCCACTTCCTCCCTGGAGACAGTAAGGACTGCAGATGCTGGAAAGTAGAGTCAATAAATGGGAAAAGCACAGCAGGTCAGACAGCATCTGAGGTGACCCCGCCCCACTCCCCCGCGGGTGTTTGAACACCTTAAAAGAAAACAGTTTGCTCACTGCCATCTGACTGTCAATGCCAATGTGATACGGTGTAGAGAGTATAACGCTGGTCACAATTTGATTGACCCTTAATTGTTTATCTATACGGAGGGCGGTTTTCAGATATTGGTGTCCACTTCCCACTCTATTTTAGGAGGCTGAGTGGAAGGGTGTAGGCTAGTGATCTGACCTGTATGGTATGTAATATCTTGCCATGTGTTTTAGTGCTTGTCAAACTCTGACCCTTGACCTGTCACCTTGAAACATTTGCCTGCTGCATGCTGGCATCAGTGAAGAGATCAGTGCTGACGGTTCACTCTCTCTCGCTTCTCTGGCTATGGAGCAGCAACTTGCAGTTCCGTTCAAGATGACGGCTGGGTGGAGGAGGGACACTGGATTGTTAGTGAGAGAAAGCAAGGCCCTTTGTTGGAGGTAGGTTGGGGGAGGGGCAGAACTTGGCATGTCCCAGAGCTCACCAAAAGAAGACATGGCACCATTACGCGGATCGCCCCCTCCTGGCCTGCCAGCAGTTTTGATGGGCTTCTCTGTTTTTGTCTGACCGACCAGCAAATAAGTACTTCACAGACGTGCTTATTAACTTCTTTCAATTTAAAGAAAAGTTCTGAGATGTTGCCCAAGTGCTGGGAGAAAGCTTTAAATAGGTTTTATAACCATATTATCTACTGTCTGGACAGAATGGGGCCAGTTTGAAAGATGATTATGTGCTAGCCTGCTTTGTATTGGCTGTTTTTAAACGAGGAGAAGCAGTACAAGTCTGATAATACTACCGAATAAATCCCTGCTTGCATCTGGGAGCGATGTGAAAAAAATGGTAACTGAAACTGAGCTTTGAATGAGCAAAGATTCTCCTAATGAATGACCGAGCAGGTAAATGAATGTTTCTGCAAGCAGAATAACACTCATTCGTTGTGCCTTGGGTCATTGACTCCTGAGGGAAAAGGTAGCCCAGCAAGGGCCAGATTTTAACTTTATTTTGACAAAAAGCACAAAGCTGAAATGAGAATTACTTCACATATACACCCACTGGGGCATAGATAGCTGTCAGGTGATTGGTGAAAGGCAGAATTTCAGTGAGTGGGCCCTGAAGAGTATGTCAGTGATATGTCACGGTTTTTTGTTGTGTGTGTGTGTGGGGCGGGGGTGGGGGGGTGGGCTGCGGGGTGCAGGAGACTTAATGACCTCAAAAAGGTAATGGCTACCAATTGGTACAAAAGACACATGCCTGCAGCTCTCTAACTCGCAGGCAGAAAGCAGTCCCATTCTGCTGGAGTGAGTGCTGCAATGCTGTCGGATGATACAGAGCTAATTCATTGTGTTGTTATGAGTGGCATGGTGGCTCTGCTGCCTCATAGCACCGGCGACCTGAGTTCGATTTCAGCCTCAGGTGACTGTGTGGAATTTGCATATTCTCCTCATGTCTGTGTGGGTTTCCTCCCACAGTCTAAAGATGTGCAGGTTAGGCAGATTGGCCGTGCTAAATTGCCCGTAGTGTCCGGGGATGTGTAGGTTAGGTGGATTGGCCATGGGGAACATAGGGTGAGGGGTATGACTGTTAGTGGGATGCTCTTCAGAGGATCAGTTTGCACTCAGTAGATCAAATGGCCTGCTTCCACACTGTAGGGATTCTATGATTATTGCAGTCTCAATGCCTCCAAGTGTTTCCAACTGTTCCTGTTCATTAACAGGAAGGCTGCTGTATGTCCTCAAACTGAATGCAGGGCCAGCCTATAATATTGATCCTTTATGTCTTGGAGTGCCCACAGGTCATGAAAGGTACCACATGGTCTCCCTCCAAAGCCACCTGGGTCTGACCTAATAGAAAAAGGCAGCCAGAGTCCCTTGCCCTCTGTACCGTCCTTGCCCTCTGTACCGTCCTTGCCCTCT